TGCCAGTTTTACTTTTCTCCTTGAACAGAGAAAGTGAAAATGTATCCTCTCTTATCTCTTTTCCTCCCTTTTTAATGAAGACACATCCTCTTCTTCCTTTCCCCCGCCCCTGGTTTTTCTCTTAGAGCCTTTCTACCTTCCAAATAGAAAACACCAAATTTGCTTTACCAAATCAGGTAAAGGGAGTAGCGTGGCTGACTTAGGAAGCATTGTGTGAGTTCTTTCCTTGGTGAGAGAGATTCACCTGCATCTAGCCACAGCTCGTGTCACTTTTATTCCCGTGAATTTTCCAGCTGCCGGTCAGGGGAAAGAGGGCTGAGTTGGTAGTCATGAAGTAGCAAGAAGGTGGTTGGCTTCTCCTCGAGATCTCGGCTTCAGTAACACCGCATTGCAGCCAATTGAGCTAACTAGGTGCACTTGTGAGAAGAAAGATTGCGCCTTTGTGGAGCCTTATGCCAAAATTTCTGCTTCAACCCCCAGCAACCGAATCTTTTGGGCGTCTTTAGTGAAAGGCCATTTGGAAAATGGACTGTACATGCAGCAAATAGGATTTCAGTTAAATGGTAACATTGGTTTCCAAAAGAGTACCACAGGGGAAGCTAAGCTCTTCAGAGCATGTGTTCATTAAAGATTTGAAGTGGGGTGGGAAGCAATAAAAAAAAAAAAAAAAAAAAAAAAAAAAAAAAAAAGGCCAGTGAGTTCTCTTGTGAGATAGTTTTTTGTTCCTATGAATTGAACACACTCTGAAAAGTTTCAAAAAAGAGACTGGGAAGAATGTATTTGCTTTGATCCAATATGTGGAGGGTTCCCTACTACAAATGCCCCTTAATTTAGAAGCATTATTGAAAAGTCTGTTTGAAAGTACATAAAAATATAATATGTAAATAAGCTCTAATTAGTTATTTCAATTAATTATTTTTTGTCTCTGCTTTGCAGCTCTGTTTTTCTCCCCATAATGTCGCTTGTCAGAGTCTAGCTTTGGCACCCTTGAAAAAGTGTGTTTTCCTAATAGTCGTTATTAAGAAAACACATTTTTTGCCCTGTTGAAAACATCACAATGGTAAAGTAAAATCCAGATTGTGTATCTTTGGGGTGAATTGTTTCAGACATTTTTAGTCCATGGTTTGCTAGTATGACTTTAAAGAAGGAAATTTTACAGTTAATTGAAAGAATAGATGTTTTCTTTTTCAGTAAGTGGCATGTGTTGTTTTTTAGAAAATGAATCTGTATTATGCCACTAGCCTCTACCCTTCTTTCCTGATCATCCTGTGTTCTTTCAATAACAAATACTACATTGGATTTGGAGACTAAAGGTTTTTTTTTTTTTTAATTTTTTTTTTTTTTCCAACGTTTATTTATCTTTGGGACAGAGAGAGACAGAGCATGAACGGGGGAGGGGCAGAGAGAGAGGGAGACACAGAATCGGAAACAAGCTCCAGGCTCTGAGCCATCAGCCCAGAGCCCGACGCGGGGCTGGAACTCACGGACCGCGAGATCGTGACCTGGCTGAAGTCGGACGCTTAACCGACTGCGCCACCCAGGCGCCCCAAAAGGTTTTAATTCTAAACCAAATAAGATGCTTCTTAGTGGGGACAATGAGAGCTCTGGAAAAATACTGGTAAAATGAACTCAGGTTGTTTCCACATAGCAAATTTTTTAGAAATTGACTACGAACCTGAAATGTTGATTTTGGAGACCTAAAACGTAAACCACATGACAAATTATGAGCTTTTCACTTAAGAGTCTGCACACCCTCTGCCCTTGAATAGAGTTGGAATTTTAGAGCATGGAGCCACCTAGAAATCAGGGAGCAATCCTCAGCTTTTACTCACCAGGGTCTATGATGGTAGTTGGCTGGTTGGGGAGAAATGCAGGGCCCTAATCTGGGCCCTAATCCAGATCTCCAGAATTGAAGTGTAGGGGTGGGGGAGGGGTCTACATTTTTCACAAACATCTCCAGAAAATTCTGATGGTCACTGAATCTGGCAACCCTTGATTTAGGCTGGCCCCTTTATTTTGCAGTGAGGAAAGCAGGCCTAGAGAGTTCGATGGGTCGAGTTCATGGTGTGTATTAGACAGGAACAGGCTTACTAACTCCAGACCTGTGCTTGTGTATACACCATGTATCCAAAATGTACAGGTATCCTGTACATATCCTAAGCGTACAGGTAGGTTTAAACCTACTTCTAAGTCATTAGGGGACCTTTCAGCACAGAGAGTAGGAGAGCCTGGTTCCAAATGAGGTATGAAGGTAAAGACACACAATAACTAGGAGTTTATATGCTCTTTTTCTAACCTAAAACCCGAGTGAGCCCTAGCCATGTTCTCTCAGCCCTTTCTGTCTTTGATGAGACTAGTGCACAGTGGGGAGAATGCTTAGCTCGTTTAGTTAACTCATATATTTGAACCTCCAGCATGTTAAGCTTTGGACCTGTGTGCCTGATTGATATACACATTTTTAGACCGTATTTTAATATTGCTTATGTATATTGCATCTAAGAAATCATAATAAAGTCATTAAAAATTATAGACTGATAAACCCAGTAGTACTCACTAAAGCATATATAAATATCCAGCAAATGCTTACTGATGTTAATTATATCTAATGTCCAAAGAACCAAAAAGCTAAAGTGACCCAAATTTATTTTTGCTGTGTTCTGTGGGGAGAGTCAAAACTGTAATGATGACCCTGAATTCCTGCAAGACCGTAATCACTTTCTAAATCATTAGGAAAGACTGCATTTTATTCAGGGTCATTTCAGAGTTAAGTCAATTTGACCATAAACTAATTTTTGGAACAGCAATATCCCAGAGTCTAGGATGTGTTAGGTTCCACTGACTCCTGTTCCATGGTCCATATAGGAACACATGAGTAATGTGTAATTCTTAGAATGGGCAACATATTTTTTATGGGGTTCTTAACAAAAGTACACTGCTTTAAGAGTCAGGCGAGCAGGTTAGGGAGGATCAATTCTAGGACAGCTATGGGCAATTAAAATCTCTTCATATGTGGGTGTATGTGTGTCAAATAATATTCAGTTTATCATCCTTTCTACATAAACGTTTACCAATAGTCTGCTCCATGTAAAGCTCTGTGTTAAGTACTGAGGATAAGAAACAGATTTGAGGAGTTGGAAAAGCACATAAGAAGACACAGTAGTTTCAGGAAGCGTGTGCTCAATGCCAGATGAGCAATAATGTGGTCAGTGAGTGCAGCAAACAGCATTCCAGTGTTCATAGCCTAGGAATTGTGACGGCGCCTCCGTCCAGCAGAAGCAGCGTGTGTGTTTGGTTCTTCTTTATCTTTCGCACATATCTCATTGCTCAGCCAATCTGAAAAACGGGAGCTTGTTATGATTTTGCTGCTACTCAATAGGAAAGAAATAACCATTCCAGGAAGGAACGGTATGAAGCTTTGGAAGCATAATACAGATACATTTACTTACCATCTTTCAATAAGGACTGTGCTTAAAAACACCACTTCTCTTCCTGGAGAATGCACTGTGAAACTGCTTGATTACTGATGCCGTTTGATTTGTGATGAAAATGAAAGTCCTGTGAGTTTTTGTGATATTTTCACTCATAGAGTACATGCGAATCACTTTCTTCTTAGGTTAGTAGTTTGTTAAATGTTTGGAGCTCCTTTAATGGAAATGAGGTGTAATGGTAGTAGTATAACATGGTGACGATGACGAAGAGTAACCCATTTTATACTCTTATCATGAAATAGGCTTAATGTAAGATTTCTGTGATCAGTACGGTTCTTGATCCAGCCATGAAGTGGGCAGCTACATGGAAGGATTTCTGAAATGAAGCAGGAGATGAGAAATGTCAGGATCACGTTGCTGTTAGTATAATCATGATCACCTGTTCTGGGCTGCCAGGATTCTGTGCTTTGGCTTGTGATAGGATTTCTATCCTCACCAATAGAAGGTGGTTCCTCTGACCTGAAGAAAAAGAATGGCTCCTTTGTGACAGAGCTGAGGTTATTACCAGTTCTTCTTAGAGGACCAGGACAGCGCTCAGAGAATTGTGGATTTCCACGGACACGAAAAGGGCCTTAGCGGTGACTTGCAGACAGCCACTGGTTGAGTCATGGCAGGATTTGGCAAATTGGAAATCAGAGAAGAGGGTGTTGTGTGAGGAGAAATAATATATGCCAATGTACGAAGGGTGGAGGGAGCACACTGTTTATTTGGGGAATAGTGAGGAGAATTCTCTGATTCCCACTGGAGAGTAGGAGTCAGTAGTTGGAAAGGTGAAATAGGGGCCAATTGAAGGACCAGTTTCTTTTGTAAGGCCACATATTCGTTTTTTGAGTCATTTTTAAATTAGACAAGCTCAGAGTCCAATCCAAACTCCACCTCTTACTGGCTAGGTAACCTCAGACAAATTCTTAACTTGGCTAAAACCATCTCAAAATGTTGTACATGTTAAATAAGATCCTTTGAAAAAATTTTTTAATGTTTATTTTATTTTTGACAGAGACAGAGCATGAGCGGGGGAGGGGCATAGAGAGAAGGAGACACAGAATCCGAAACAGGCTCCAGGCTCTGAGCGGTCAGCACAGAGCCCAACGCGGGGCTCAAACTCACAGACCGTGAGATCATGACCTGAGCCAAAGTTGGATGCTCAACCGACTGAGCCACTCAGGTGCCCCTAAATAAGATCCTTTTATGAGAAGCCCTGAGCAACATGCCTGGTGGTGGAAATGGTTTATGAGGAGGAAGTGAGGTGCTGATAGGGGGGTTGTAGAGACACTGATCTCCGACAGCTGTGCACAGAAAACACAGAAGAGACTAGAAACAGGACCAGTTAGGTGCAGGTTATGGCGATCCCTTGGGAGGCGAGGAGGTAGAAGCTATTGGACACATCTATACATGTATTCTCTGGATTTTTTTTCCCCCCTTTACAGACTTTTATTTGAGGGTTGTATAACCTTGTTCTGTGGTGTTAAAAGTACAGCAGTAATCACGGGCTCTTTCTTCTGCCTTGAACAGGATGCCAGCGATCCATAGGCCTTTCCAACGGGAAAGCCAAGGTGTGCAACTACAGTGGGTGGTATTACTGCAGCAGCTGCCACGTGGATGACAGTTTTCTTATCCCAGCACGCATAGTCCACAACTGGGACACTTCAAAATATAAGGTAAGCACAGAGTCTGGGTTTACTTCATGATAGCAGTGGAGGTGTTCACATGTTGTTGTGTGGAGTATAAAGGGAATGATGCAAGAATTTGAAGCAAACTTGACTAGGGAGTCTCACGAAAGCTACGAGATCTTATCCAACGCTTCTCAAAACATCTCACATTTAAAGGTGTCTTAAATATGACTTTTATTAATTTCCTCATTTAAAAAGACATATAGCAATTTTTTACTTCTGGGCCCTGATAATTAACTGTGGGTGCTAAAAAAGAAATGATAGAGAAACAGGCCTCATCATTTTTTATTAGATCTTCTCTCCAAAATCACAACACTCTTGAATATATGAGTGACTTTTGGGGAAAGGACTTTAAATAATTCAATATATTTCTTAGAGTAACATTCCTACTCATGTCAAGGTCAGTCTTCCAGAAATCCATCCCCCTGGAACTAGAACCTGGAGAGAAGCTATGAGGACTTCTGGGTAGGGGTCCACATCAAGGAACAGTGAACTGAGCCACCCTTACACCTTTACCTGGACTGCTGTTTATTTCTTTTTTTTTTTATTTTTTATTTTTTTAAAAAATTTTTAATGTTTTTATCTTATTTTTGAGACCTAGAGAGAGACAGAGCATGAGCAGGGGAGGGGCAGAGAGAGAGGGAGACACAGAATCTGAAGCAGGCTCCAGGCTCTGAGCTGTCAGCACAGAGCCTGACAAGGGGCTCAAACTCACAGACTGTGAGATCATGACCTGAGCTGAAGTCGGATGCCCAACCGACTGAGACACCCAGGTGCCCCTATTTATTATTTTTTTAAAGGGAGGAAGTGAGAATCACAGGTATATGCTAACAGCTTTGCAAAGTAGCTGATAACAGCCAAGCAGGATATCCCAGAAGTACAAATAACTATAAAAATGCAAGTCAATAGAGGAGGAGAGGAAGCCTGAGCACTGGGACACTCCACCTTAAGAGTGTGGAAAAGAGTGGGGTGCCTGGTTGGCTCAGTCGGTTAGGCATCCGACTTTGGCTCAGGTCATGATCTCGTGGTTCTTGAGTTTGAGCCCCACGTTGGGCTCTGTGCTGACAGCTGGGAGCCTGGAGCCTGCTTCGGATTCTGTGTCTCTCTTTCTCTCTGCCCCTCCCCTGCTCATGCTCTGTCTCTATCTCTCAAAAATAAACATTAAAAAAAAAAAAGTGTAGAAAGGAGAGAAGCAACCAGCAAAGGAGACTGAGGAATGCAGAACGAGGTAGAAGGACCCTAGTGTGTCCAACAAGCCACAGGAAGAATGTGTCTCCAGATCAGTTGTGACAGAGGCTGATACATAGATGATGAGATATGATAAGATGAGCACTGAGAATTGACCATGGGATTTAGGAATGTGGTGGTAATGACTGACCTTGCTGAGAGCAGTTTGAATCGAGAGGTGGGAGTGAAGGTCTGATTGGAGTGGGTTTGATATGGAACAGGAGAGAAAGTAGCGACAAGAATAGACAACTCTTGAGAAGTTTGCTGGAAGGGGATGGAGAGAGATGGGGAGTAACTGGAGGAGATGTAAGGTCCAATTGGGTTTGACTTTTGTTTTAATGGAAGAAATAACAGCATGTTTTCTATGCTGGTGTGAACTACTGAAGAGAGAATTGCTAGAAGATGTGGTTAAGTGAGAAAGATGGAATCGGGTAGACAACAGGAGGGTTGGTCTTTGCTTGGGGCAGGAAGTAAGAGAAAAGGCAGAGTCTGTGGATGCAGGTGCCAGTGGGTGGCTTAGGGAAGTCCTCTGCCATTTACATCCGTAGCTGTCATCAGATCATTTTATTTCAGCACCCATGATCCTGCAGAGGTTAAACACCCAGCCCCAGTCACTCTGGGAAGTGCCTTTACCTTCTATTTCATAGAGATATAGCAGGATTAAGGCAGCAGTCCCACCAACCCTTTTATAAACTCGTCCACATCTACACCCATCCTCCTTGCCCTCCTTCCAGCCACAGAAGAAACCTCACTCCTATGGAAGGTTTACTCCTTCCTCCTCTGCTCACGATCTTAACTCCTCCATCAGTTTTGCCAAATCTAGTTGACCCTCATCAGTTTCTTGTTCTACTGGACTTGTCTGGGATATAATATTTGACCAGGAATTCTTCTGCCTTGACTTTGAAGATACACCCTTGGTTTTCCTCCTACTTTGAACTCTTTTTTTTCTCAGTCACCTTCTCTGATTCTTTGTCCTCAGCCTATACCTTTAATGTTGCAGTTCCTTAGCGTTGTGTTTTGTTTTCTTTTCCCACTTTATGCTTTATTGCAATATCTCCTTCTCTTCCATGTTTTAACTCCCTGATGATTCCTACTTTTATCTTCAGCTCCATTTAAAAAAAATTTTTAATGTTTATTTTTCGGGGCGGGGGGAGGGCCAGAGAGGAAGGAGGGGTGGAGAGAAGGGGACAGAGGATCCAAAGTGGGCTCTGTGCTGTCAGCTGTCGATGCAGGGCTCGAACTCACAAACCACGAGATCCTGACCTGAGCCGAGATCAGATGCTTAACTGACTGAGCACCCCAGGCACCCCTCCGGCTCCATTTTTTGCTACTGAAAGGGAGATCTGTGGATTTAATTGCCAAATGACATCTTAGCTCTAGTTTCCAGCCTAGTAGTCTTCAAGATATGTGGATCGTACTGCAGTTGTTAGCTGTGTCGTACTACAGTCCCACCATGCATAAATGAGGCAGTAGAACTTGGTAAGTCGAGGAATCTAATCCACTGAAGTAGCCTAGGCTTAGGATTCTTTCATGGTCCTGTGTCCTGCCAGAATAAAGAATTCTGGTATCTGACTGACGAGAAGCTTTTTTCTGATCCTTCTGTTAGAATATTGTCACATCTGCCTTGAATGAACCTTCCAAGCAAAGTGCTTTGTACAAACAGTCTTTATGGCTGTTTTTATACCTCCTTGCCAGTAGCTGTCTGAGACTTGCTTTCACTGTAACTGTATCACCTGGGAGCGAGGTAAGTGGGGAAGGAACCCATAACTCACCTACCAGTAATTTTTGAAGTCTAAAACAAACATGAAAATTGCAAGGGGCCATTTGGCTGATATCCTTTCTATACCCCTGGGAAGCTCTGTCCCCTGGGCAAGTTAGCCTGTGTTTGAGTGCTCTCATCTGTAACATGAGGACCGTAACACTTCACAGGGTCACTGCAGGTTAAATGGGTTCATGCATGTGAAGTGTTCAGAATAGTGCTAGTACGTAGTGCATGCCAAATAAGCATTCATTCTTAGTATGACTTCTATATTTACCTACAAAAATCACGTGAATTGGGATAATACAAGACAGGCACTCTGCAAATAACTTTGATAAGCACTTGAAGAGTGGGAGCTGTTGTCACTGCTTTTCTTATCCTCACATTTATGTTGCTCCTCTCTGTGAGCCACCTGGGCACGGGGAACCTGTCTTTGCATAGTTTCTGGCACGTAGTAGGTAAGCAGAAATGTATGCTGAAGGACGGAAGGAACGAGGCCTGTCTCCTGGGCCCCTCCAAACTCGGTACACCCCAAATGGACTTCATCCCCCTCACCACACATCCCTCCGGAATATCCACGGCCCCACCCGTCACCACTGCCAGCGCTGGGAGACGTCAGTTAGCAAAACTTTACGCTGGATTCGCACTCTTGAGATCGCGCTCTCTGCTGCACCTTCACTTCCACCTCACGAGTTCACACCTCCGGTGTCACTCCCACGAAGGAGTTTGGTGGCCTTCTGACTGGGCCTCCTGCCTGCAAGTCTTGCCCCAGCAACAGTTCGGAAAATTCTGATCCCACTGTGGGTGAATCTTGTACCCTTTCTTAGTCTCCGTGTCTTCACCTTTAGAACGGAGGTGATGATGACGATAACAGCACCTACTTGACAACAGCGCTGTTTGCATAAAAGAATGACTCGCAGAAAGCACCAGGCACCGTGTCTGGCACACAAGTGCTCGATAATGCCAGTTTTTACTAGGACTGTATATGGAAGTCCAAACCTCATAGCCCGACACAAAGACCTTTTGTGATCTCTAGTCCCTGTGCTTCTAGCCCCTTCTTCATGCCCTACCTCCCCGCCCCCGTGAGCATCCTCCATCCGGTCTCACTCCTCCTGTTCCTCAGTGCTGCCCTGCCATTGCACACCTCTGGTCTTCCTCTTGCCCTCACTCGGCGTGGCAAACCCTAAGCCTGTCCTAAACCTCATTTCCTCTCGCCCACTTCTTTCCTTCCCCTCTCCCAGACAGTTATCATTCTCTCCTCTGCATCTCATACTTGGCACTCTGAATGCAGGCTATAAATATATTTGCCATGCGTGTATTAGATAAAAATGTATTTAGAGGGAAAGGACACTGGTTGACTTTGGTTTAGATTATTTATATTAATCTGCTTAGAGTGGGGCTTTGACAGCTAAGAGAGGTGTAGAGAGAACAAGTGAGGGAGGCAGGCCCAGCCTGGGGTCACCGAGAGCTTAGGCTAGTGGCACCTGCCAACAGACTCTGCCACTTTGGGGAGTTAAAACAGAAGAAGTGGCACTAAATGAGGAGAATTTGAAAATCAGGCACGGCTTACAAAGGTGTGAAGTGGTGGAAGAGATCCAGGTCCGTTTGCACGGAGTTCTAAAAGCCATTGAAACCATCAATTCAGCCATCTCGGACACTTTGTCTTTTCCCCAAAGCAGACGTCTTTGCCTTGCTGGTCATCCAGGTGACGGGGTTTCATTCTGAGAGGATGAGTAACTAATTGAAGGTGTTACGTACGCTCATTTCAGCCATGTTGTACATGAGGAAAACCTCCTTTGTTAGACCTTCCTTCCCAGGTTCTCAGTGGACCCAGGAAGATTTTAAAGCAAGAACAGAGCTGGTCGAGTTTATCTGGATCATCTCCCACTGGCATTAAGTAACTATATTCCATTTAGTCCAGCCTGTCTTTGCTCAGACACTGGGACTTGATGTTTCTAATTGTGAGGATCAATTCAGACCTATCAGTTTCCAAGACCAGACA